GGGGGGAGCTAATAGAAATGAATTATTTCCAGTTGTATGCTTTCAAGAATTTGAGGTTGTGGTAGGTTACAATTCATATTTTTTTAAGAACTGGGGCCACCTTATGTTGAAGTTTCACTTTATTTGCTGTTGGGCATAATCGAGAGATAGGGCGGCTACTCATTTATTTTAATTGTTTCCTACATAAGTTTGTTGAATATCAGTTGCCTTAACGTAAGTTTGTTGCTAAGTATTTATGACACTTGAAGCTTTTATGTAGCAATATTAATTTCCACCATCTTCCTTTTTTGTTGATTTTTATTTGGATGTTAAATGAACGGTTTGAACTAAATTTGAATGAGTTACAATAAGTTGAGTTAATAAATGGACAAATTATTAATCTACCCAAACTTGAGTGGATTGGCAGGTCATATTTTTTTGGGTTGATTTTGCTCCCCTTAGTTTTTATAGTATCCACATATACCCCACATATTCTGTTACAGTAATGGTTATAAAACATATCTAGAATTTAGCAGCCGGAAAAAGGAAGAGCAGCCATTAATGACCAAATTTGAAGCAACTTGATTGTCAAGTCAAGCAAGTCGTTAGCAATAACAATGACAGTTATCTGTTAGCCACCAAATGGGAAAAAGGGCATTAGACTTTGTCTATCCCTCCTCCTTGACTAAAGATCTTATGTTTGTCAATGGACAAACTTCCGATAAGGAGTGCTTCCTACTTTTATAGGCCATTCGTCTGGACTTAGGATTTAAAAGTTTGGGATATAACCAAAATCTGTTTGTACACAGGGTGCCACTAACTCACTACTAATATATCAGTATTTTTAAAAAATATATACATCTATTCATGAAACTTTTGCCGAATTTTTGGGTGTCGGAGACCCCTCTCTTGATAACATAAGTCTGCCTATGCTTCACCACATAAATTTGGATTAGGACCACTGGGGTATTGGATACCAGATAGTCATACCCCAAAAAACTGCATTATTTTTTCACTATTTATGAACAATTATCTATGTTTATTCTTTAGGTAACCTGATAATGCTAAAGAATTTTACACTACAGAGTACAAATGTTAAACTCTTAACAACAATCCCAAAACTCAGTTCACTACATTTTAAGAGTTGTTATTTTCAAAAAGTTGCAATAACTAAATCTTAGTCCAAAATTTTATATGCATGTAAAACAGGGGTGCATAAATATGATGAGAAGCTAAACTTCTTCTTGCCATGAATATAACACAGGATTATGGAGTTAGATTGCTAATGTATCGTACTCCTTATTTGGTGGACATGGTGAAAGAAAACATTGGAACAGTTCTGAAGTTGGATTCCATTACTGATGGCAATGCTTGGAAAGGAATGGATGTATTAATATTCAACTCTTGGCATTGGTGGACTCATACCGGCAATTCCCAGCCGTAAACTATCTGAACTTGCCACTAAACTCATAGTCGGTTTTGATTACTAAATTCGCAACTTAATAGTTATACGTATTGAATATTTGAGTATATGTTGCAGGTGGGATTACATACAAGAAGGGAATAAAGTTGTCAAAGATATGAACCGTATGGTTGCTTTCTACAAAGGAATGACTACATGGGCTGGATGGGTCAACAAAAATATTGACCCAACTAAAACTAGTGTCTTTTTCCAGGGAATTTCCCCCGTTCACTATCAGTAAGCAATTAATTCCCTCCTTGTTCATTCCTAGAAATTATGTTCTGTACATTGATAACTTAAACTACAGTGTTAGGTTAAGTTAATTTCAACAATAACAGGTAATGTTACATACACGTTAAGCCTTATAACTTGATGTAACCGATTAAATCACACAAATAGTGTAAAAGTACTTTTATTGCCAAGGTTAACTTAAACTTTTCACTCTTAGCAACATGTCACTAACGAGATAGTCTAGTAGTTAAAAGATCATAGTTCTAGTCATAGTACACGAGTTTAAATCTCAGTGACTTCATATTGCCTTGTGACCTCTGATGCATATGCAAACAAATTCCAAATTTGAAGTTGATAAGAAGAAAATTTATATATAAGATGTACATATACTCTTAATTGTTAGCATTGTACGGACTTTTTTGAAAAAAAGATGAAGTTTGACCTAAAACAAACATTATTATCACACCTTTTAAAAAGTGTTTTTGGGGTGACTTAGCCCAACAACCTCATCATCTTTGCTATCCAATTGGGACTAAATCGTTCAGTAAGTTAGTTTCCATTTCTGACTTAGAAAGCGGCTGCCCAGTGAGCTATCCAATAGTGCATGTGAAAGAAGAAAGATTGTTTTACTCTACTTTAACCATAGAAGAGAATGTCATTCTGTTTTCTCAATTCATATACTGTTACGTAAAATATTTACAAGATGCTTATGTGATCAAAATTTCAGGGGCAAGCATTGGAACGAACCATCAAAATCATGCAAAGAAGAAACACAACCATTCTTTGGTACAAAGTATCCAGCAGGGACACCTCAAGAAGCCATTGTGGTCAACAAAGTAATGAGCAGAATTAAAAAGTCAAAAGCTTATTTATTGGACATTACAACTCTCTCACAATATAGAAAAGATGCACATCCAGGATTTTATAGTGAAATGCATGGATCAGATTGTAGTCATTGGTGTCTACCTGGATTGCCTGATACTTGAAATCTTCTTCTTTATACATCTCTTGTCGTTTGAATAAGTTTCAGCGACATGACTGTTCTGAAAAATTATTTGTAAAATGTCGTGACGGCAAAATCGTCACAAAAAGTCTCATTTCTTGTTGTGCATAACCATTATTCTCTAGCTACCATGATACATTTTTCCATTTTAGGAGATGTGTTATTTATGTTGAGTATTAGGAACTTGATTAATTCTATTTGTCACAAAATAAGAAGGTTGATGTTTGAATTGTAAAGTGGGCATAGGATTTTAAGGCATGATGCCTTAGTCGAGGTGAGGGAATATTGTTGTACCTAATGCTGTAATATCAATTACAATTCTTATTTAAAGGAAAAGATTATAAAGTTGTTTTTCATCATTTTCACATTGCTTTTCTTGTTTGCCTAAACTAGTCCAATAGCTTTTTGGTTTGAAGTGAGCAAAATCTCTTGGATTCTGAGAGTGACCCTATTGTAGCAATTTGTATGTCAACCTTTATGCATATTGAAGTCATCATTCACTGGTTAAGGGAAAAATCAAAATAGAGAGGTAAAAGAAAAAGATAAAATTTTGCTTACCTAATACTCTCTCATTCCCAATTTATATGATTATCTACAGTCAAGTAAGTTAATATTGACCATGAATTCGAACATAGAATCGTTAAATTTTTGAAATAAAATTTATATATTTATAAATTACATAAAAATGACTATAAGTCACAATAATTAATAATTTAAAATATATATCAAAAATATACAATAAAAAATCTCGTTTAACTCTCGAAATTCGAACTACTACATAAATTGCGACTAAGTGTATATCTTTCAAAGCAATCCAAACTTTAAAGATAAATTTTTGCATCCAAAGGCATCAGGCATGAATAAATTTTTCAATGCTATATGTTTGTTTATAAGATGGTAAGTAGAGGGCCGGATAGCAGTCTAGATACAGGTTCGATTGATTTCCGTAGTTTTTTTTCAAACATATATTTGTATTAAGAACTTTCTCAAATATATTTACATATTAAATTTAAAATTCAATTATTAATATTTAACACTTGAAATTATCTTTCTAAAACGTATCCTTAAAATTGTAATTTTAACTCCTGCCCTCAATAAGTAGTTGATACTCCACCCTAAATTTGAAAACATAACATTGGATCGCCTGAATATTTTACATCACAACATGATGTTGATGAATAAAGCTCCCATTGGACCAACCTAAAAATACAAAGAAGATAAAAGTTAAACATAGGCAAATTCACAGAGTGACACGTTTACAAGGTAATTGCTGACATAATTCCCAACATCCTACCACGTTGCAATATTGCATGACATAGAGCTCAACACTCACCACTATTGCACCACTTGTCATTAGCCTAGAGCCTTTGTCTTTCTCTTTTGATAGTCCCTCCTCTGTGTCACTCTCTCCTCAGTCTCAATTTAACACATCTTTCAAGTCAAACACAAACAAAAACCAGTTGATTCAATTTGTTACTTTTGTTTAACCAATGGCTTCACAACAAGCAAGAAGAGAGAACATAACTGATGAACAACCTAACATTCACTTGGAGAAAACCATAGACCCCAAAAGGGGTGCTGTGAAAGTGCAAGTTGGAACTGATTTTCATCTTGCAGGTGGTGGCATTATTCATGTCACAAATGCTGAACACAAAGGCCAAGTCCAAAGAGAGAAGCATTCTTTTGGTAATCAACAGAGGCAACAACATGGATTTGAAGAGAGACCAGGAGGTGTCAAGTTTGAAGTAAATAGCCAGAAACAGAAGGGTTCTCTAGATTCAAAGCACAAAAGCCAAATGGAGAACTCTTCAGAAGGCTTAAAGGTTGCTGAAGAGCGCTATGACAAGGCAAAGGAGTTGGGCGGATCGGCATTGCATAATGTCAAAGAATCGGCAAGTTATGGACTTGGTTCCCCAGGTCAGAAAGCGAATTCAAGATTTAAATTTAATAGTAGATTCAAGATTCTAACTTCTTTGAAAGTGTGAGTTCAAAACTAATTAGTATAGTACTCCCTCGGTCTCAATTGACGTCCCAATTTATGGTGTTTGACTGAGGACGAAGTTTAAGATTTGTTTTTTATTGTTGTTGAAATTTGTGGTCTGAAATAAGCATAGATATTGCGTATCTTAAATCATCTTATAGGGTAACTTGAGTATATTAAAGTTACATTGTTATTATATGTAGAAAGGTACATTTGGCACATTGAAGTTAAATTTTTATTAAATATAAAAGAGTGTCATGTGTCATTGTAGAGTGTTACATGGGACGAAACGGAATGTCACAAAAATTGGGATGGGGCAGTAGGAGTTTATTTTTTCAGGATCTTTCACATATATACCTATGTTGCTGAATATTATGAGTCTAATTGAATCTACCCATAACAGTACTCTTGTCTTTGTTGCAGGTGCTTATGCAACACCAAAAGGTGCACAAGGCAAAGACAATGTTACACATGGAGTTCAAAGTGGATATCAATATGTTGCTAAGAATGCTGGCGCTGCTAAAGACACAGCACTTCAAAAAGGCCAGCAAACTTATGCTGTAACTAAAGATAACCTTTCAACTGCAGGACAAAATGTAGCTCAATCTACACAACAAGCTAAAGATTATACCTTCCAAAAAGCAGGGGAGACTAAAGATTATGCTAAGGACACAACACTTGAGAAGGGTCAACAAGCTTATGATACCCTTTCAAGCACAGGACAAACTGCAGCTCAATATGCACAACAAGCTAAAGACTATACCTTGCAAAAGGCAGGAGTGGCTAAAGACACAGCTCTTGAGAAGGGTCAACAAGCTTACAATACAACTAAAGATACCCTTTCAAGCGCAGGACAAAATGCAGTTCAATCAGCACAGCAGGCAAAAGATTATACACTGCAAAAGGCAGGGGAGACTAAAGATACAGTCCGCGACAAGGGTCAGCAAGCTTACTCTACAACTAGAGACACCCTTTCAAGCGCAGGAACAAATGCAGCTCAATCAGCACAACAAGCAAAAGATTATACACTACAAAATGCTGGAGAGGCTAAAGATTATGCTAAAGACAGGGTCCTTGACAAAGGTCGGAAAGCTTACTCCACAACTAGAGACACCCTTTCGAGTGCTGGACAAAATGCTCAATCAGCACAGCAGTCTACAGATTACACCCAAAAAAACGCAGAGGAGGCCAGGGACAATGCAGCAGGACTGAGCAAGAACGCAGCAAGCTATATTGGGAAGAAAGCTACAGAAGCAAAAGATGTCACCTTAGAAACAGGCAAAGGAGCAGTAGGATATGCAGGGCAAGCAGCAAGTTATGTTGGACAGAAAGCAGTTGATACAAAAGATGTCACGGTAGAAACAGGCAGAGGAGCAGTAGGATATGCAGGGCAAGCAGCAAGCTATGTTGGACAGAAAGCTGTTGATGCTAAAGATGTTACCTTAGAAACAGGGAAAGGAGAAGTAGGATATGCAGGGGAAGTAGCTGAAACTGTGAAGGAAAAAGCTGTAGTGGCTGGTTGGGGAGCTGCACATTATACTGCTGAGAAAGCAGCAGAGGCAACTAAAGCTGTGGTTGGTGTTGCTTCTAATGTTGCAGGGTATACTGGAGAGAAGGCGGTCGCCGCAAAGGATGTAGTTGCTGGCACTGGAATGAGTGCTGTGGAGTATGTCGAGAACAAGCTGGCTAATGCAAAGGATTATGTTGTTTTAACTGAAGAAAGTGCAGCAGAGTATGCAGTTAGGAGGAAAGCTGAAGCTGAAAAGGAATTGGAAGCTAAGAGATCATATGATTACAAGGTAAACTTGGTAATTGAGTTTTTCTATGTTTTTACTTACTAATGGTGGCATTGATTTCAGTTAAACTTTAACCATGTTATGACTATCATTGTATTGTTTGATTTGAATATGCGCAGAGAGAAAGTGGAGGTGGACTTATTAGTGAGGAAAATCAAGAAACAAAATGGGAGGAATTAGGAGGAGAGGAAAGCAAGCAGCAGAAGCAGAAAGGAGGGTTATTACAAGCCATTGGGGAAACTATAGTGGAGATAGGGAAGACAGCAACAGATCTTATAGCTGGACGTGGCCAATCTCAAAGTGATAGCAAGGGAGATGAAAGTCACTCTTCACATAGAAACAGCTGATTTTTGGCATTTTGAGCGCAGAATTTCAACTGTTTTTTTTTTTGTTGTTGCTGTTTTTCAAGCGTCAGTATATGGGGTTTTATATTATTATTAGGATTGTAACGATTAGGCTCCTTTATCTTTGATAGTTAAGGTACCTAAAACTTGGAATTCCTGGTATTGTAGGAAAACTTGGATTATTGGTCTGCAATAGTTGACGACCAGAAAATTTTTTAGGCGATCCGTGTCCGGAGACCTGGGTAATTGTGGAAGGTATGGGTTATAGCACACGAAAATTTAGGAATATAGCGGAATTTCAGTTTTATGGTCGTAAAACGTTAAAAAACGAGGAACGGTCATGGCGGGGTGATAACTATAGTTTCTTAGGTCGTATTAGATTGCCCAAAATAATTTTAGGAGATCCGGGTCCAAAGGTTCAGCCCATGTGGAAGGCGTGGACTATAGCACACGAAAATCTGCGAATCAGGCGGAATTCCAATTTAATGGTCGTAAAACGCCCAAAAATGAGGAACAGTCATGGTGGGGCAGAGACTATGGTTCCTTAGGTTATTTTTGATGGGCTGGAAAATGTTTGGGCGATACAGGTCCGGGGGTCCGGTCCCATGTGGAAGGCGTGGGATATAGCACACGAAAATCGGGGAATAAGGTAGAATTTCAATTTTATGGCCGTAAAATGCCAAAAAACGAGGAACGGTCATAGCAGGGCGATGACTATGGTTCCTTAGGTCGTATTTGATAGCCCGAAAATTGTGAGGCGATCCGGGTCTGGGGGCCTGGGCCTATGTAGAATGCGGTGGCCTATAACACACGAAAATATTAGAATTGGGTGGAATCCCAGTTTTATGACCGAAAAACGTAAATAAACGAGGAACGATCATTGCTGGGCGGTGACCATGATTTCTTAGGTCATTTTGGAAGTCCCGAAATTTTTTTTGGCGATCCTGGTCCGAGGGCCCGGGCTTATGCGTAAGGTGTGAGCTATTGCACACGAAAATAGGGGAATCGATCAGAATTCCAATTTTTATGGCCGTAAAATGCCAAAAAATAAGGATCACTCATGGCGGGACGGTGACTGTGGTTCCTTAGGTCGTTTTGGAAGTCCCAAAGTTTTCTTAGGCGATCCGGGTCCAGGTGCCCGGGCCTATGCGGAAGGCGTGTGCTATAGCACACGAAAATCTGGGAATTGTAAGAAATTCTAATTTTATGGCCGTTAAACGCCAAAACACGAGAAACGGTCATGGCGGGGAGGTTACTATAGTTCCTTAAGTTGTATTTGATGGACCAAATATTTTTTGTGCGGTCTGGGTCTGGGGGCTTGGGCTCATGCGGAAGGCGTGGGCTATATCACACGAAAATCTAGGAATATGTCGGAATTTCAGTTTTATGGCCGTAAAATGTCAAAAAATGACGAACGATCATGGCGGGGGTGGTAACTATGGTTCCTTAGGTCGTATTTGATGGCCCGAAATAACTTTAGGCGATCCGAATCCGGAGGCCCGTGCCTATGCGGAAGGTGTGGGCTATAGCACACGAAAATTTATGAATCGGGTGGAATTCCTGTTTAATGGCCGTAAAATGCCAAAAAACGAGGAATGGCGGGGCGATGACTATGATTCCTTAGGTTATTTTTGATGGGCTGGTAAATTTTTGGGCGATCCAGGTCCGGGGGCCCGGTCCCACGAAAAATCGGGGAATCAGACGTAATTTCAGTTTTATGGCCGTAAAATGCTATAAAACGAGGAACGGTCATAGTAGGGCGATGACTATGGTTCCCTAGGTCGTATTTGATAGCCCAAAAATTGTGAGGCGATCTGGGTCTGGGGACCTAAGCCCATGTAGAAGGCGGTGGCCTATAGCACACGAAAATCTTAGAATCGGGTGGAATCCTAGTTTTATTGCCGTAAAACTCAAATAAACGAGGAACGGTCATGGCTGGGCCGTGACCATGATTCCTTAGGTCGTTTTGGGCGATCCTGGTGCAGGGGCCCTGGGCTCATACGTAAGGCGTGGGCTATTGCACACGAAAATCGGAAAATCGATCAGAATTCCTATTTTTACGACCGTAAAATGCCAAAAAATGAGGATCACTCATGGCGGAGCCGTGACTGTGGTTCCTTAGGTCGTTTTGGAAGTCCTAAAATATTTTTAGGCGATGCGGGTCTGGGTGCCTGGGCCTATGCGGAAGGCGTGGGCTATAGCACATGCAAATCTGGGAATTGTGTGAAATTCTAGTTTTATGGCCGTTAAACGCCAAAAAAGAGAAACGGTCATGGATGGGCAGTTACTATAGTTCCTTAGGTCGTATTTGATGGCCCGAAATATTTTTTTGCGATCTGGGTCTGGGAGCCTGGGCCCATGCGGAAGGCGTGGGCTATGCACACGAAAATTTAGGAATCTGGCGGAATTTTAGTTTTATGACCGTAAAACGTGAAAAAATGACGAACGGTCATGGCGGGGGTGGTAACTATGGTTCCTTAGGTCGTATTTGATGGCTCGAAATAATTTTAAGCGATCCGATTCCGGAGGCCTGTGCCCATGCGAAAGGCGTGGGGTATAGCACACAAAAATCTATGAATTAGGTGGAATTCCTGTTTAATGGCCGTAAAACGCCAAAAAATGAGGAACGGTCATGGAGGGGCGATGAATATGGTTCCTTAGGTTATTTGTGATGTGCTAGAAAATTTTTGGGTGATCTAGGTTCGGGGGCCCGAGCCCATGTGGAAGGCGTGGGATATAACATATGAAAATCGAGGAATCAGGCAGAATTCTACTTTTATGACTGTAAAATGCCAAACAATGAGGAACAATCATAGCAGGGCGGTGACTATGGTTCCTTAGGTCGTATTCTATAGCTCAAAAAGTTTTTAGGCGATCCAAGTCTGGCCCATGTAACCCATATTCTCCAACATCAAACCACCCTATAGAAGATATGCACTTACGCCCATACAAAACCTCGTACGGAGCCATCTGGATACTGGAGTGGTAACTGTTATTATATGCAAACTCGATAAGAGGTAGATGCTCATCCCAACTTCTTTTAAAATTCAACACACATGCTCGTAACATATCCTCGAGCGTCTGAATTGTGCGCTCGACTTATCCATCAGTCTATGGATGAAAAGTTGTGCTGAGATTCACCTGAGTCCCTAGACCTATCTGAAATGACCTCTAGAAATGTGATATAAATTTGTCCCCACAGTTAGATATAATAGATAATGGTACTCCGTGTAGCTGCACTATCTCCTTAATATATAACTTCGCATAATTTTCGGCTGTATATGTAGATCTGAACAGTAGGAAATTGGCTGATTTCATGAGACTATCGACTATCACCCATATAGAATCGAACTTACAATGAGAACGAGGCAAATCCGTGAAAAAGTCCATGTTTATCGCCTCCCATTTCCATGCCGGGATCTCTATAGTCTGCATTAATCCTCCGGGCTTCTGGTTCTCTACTTTCACCTGCTGGCAACTAGGACACTGGGCAACAAACTCAGCAATGTTCTTCTTCATATCATTCCACGAATACACATCCTTAATGTTATGATACATCTTCATCGATCCAGGATGAATGGAGTACCACGAATAGTGTGCCTCTGACATAATCCTGTCTCGTAGCCCTGCTACATCTGGGACACACAGACGACCCATATATCTGAGAACCCATCTTCATTGATCTCTAACAACAGCTTCTTCTGTTGCGGAACTCGCTCTCTCAACTCGACCAACTCTGGGTCCTCGTACTGCGTTTTCTTTACTTTAGCTGTGAGAGATGGTTTTGCAGTGTTTTGAAGTAAAACTCCACCATCATCACAATCGACTAACCGAACCCCCAAACAAGCCAATTGATGAAGCTCTCTTGCTAGTTCTCTTTTCTCAGCCTCTACATGTGCTAAGCTACCCATATATCGGCGACTTAAGGCATCAACTATAACATTAGCTTTCCCTGGATGGTAGAGAATGTTAACGTCGTAATCTTTCAATAACTCTAGCCATCGCCTCTATCGCAAATTCAACTCGTTTTGCTTGAAGATATATTGCAAGCTTTTATGATCTGTAAATACATCCACATGAACACCATATAAATAATGCCGCCATATTTTAAGTGCATGGACAACTGCATCTAACTCGAGGTCGTGGGTCGGATAATTCCTCTCATTATTCCTCAACTAACCTGAAGCGTACGCAATTACCTTTCCATGTTGCATCAGGACACATCCTAAGCCGACACCTGAGGCGTCACAATACACGGCATAACCCTATGGACCCTCTGGAAGTGTTAGAACTGGCGCTGAGGTCAACCTATTCTTAAGCTCTTGGAAACTCCGCTTGCAAGCCTCTGTCCACTGAAACTTATCTGCTTTCTAAGTTAGCTTCCTCAATGGTGCCGAAAGGGAAGAAAAATCCTTTACGAATCTCCGGTAGTAGCATGCTAAGCCTAGAAAGCTACAAACCTATGCTAGAGTGGTAGGTCTAGGCCAGGATTTCACGGCCTCAATCTTCTGAGTGTCTACCTTTATACCTTCATCGGATACAATATGCCCCAAGAGTGCTACATACTTCAACCAGAACTCACATTTAGAAAATTTAGCATACAACTTACGATCATAGAGGGTTCAAAGTACTGCTCGTAGGTGGTCTGCATGCTCCTCCTCTGAACGTGAATAAACCAGAATATCATCAATAAATACTATCACGAATAGATCTAAAAATGGCCGGAATACGCTATTCATCAAGTCCATAAATACAGTGGGTGCATTTGTCACGACCTCAAATCTATCTTTGAAAAGCATCTAGCCCCCTACAACTGATCAAACAAGTCATCGATCCTTGGAAGTGGATACTTATTCTTAATAGTTACCTTGTTCAGCTGCCTATAATGGATACACATCCTCAACGAGCTGTCTTTCTTCCACACAAATAGTACCGGTGCACCCCAATGTGATGTACTGGGTTTGATGAAACCTTTTTCCAGCAAATCTTTTAACTGCTCCTTCAACTCCTTCAATTCGACAGGTACCATTTTTATACGGAGGGATGAATATTGGTTGAGTTCCCAGAAGTAAATCGATGCTAAAATCCACCATCCCTAGCTCAACTAGATCGGCTAAGGTCTGACGACTACAAACTGTCACCGTACAACCTCGG